ATGACGAATCGTTTGCTCTTTTTTTTTCCCCTGATCTTTTCATTTTTTTTATTATTTTTTTTCAAAGTCGAATCGAGTTAAAATCGAGTCAAGTCAAATCGAGTCAAATTTAAAATTTATATAACTTGAATCAAATCAAATTGAAAGATTTTATAAAATAAATTTAACTCGACTCAACTCATTCAGAACTCTAGTACAGAGTGCTAACTGAGGCAGTTCTCCATTATTATAGTTATTAAATAACTGTTAATTTATTGACACTTCTCTAAATCTAATTATTAAATTAAACCTTTTACTTACCACTCATAAATATTGCTTTACTTATTACTTATAAGCATCTTAAAGAACTGACTATAACAGTAGCTCAGCTTGATAAAGTAAGAGCATGTTGATGTTGAGAACAGATTCAACAACTATTACTCACTCAATAATAAAGTGCAACTCGCAATCCATTTTAGCTAATTAGCCCAAGTTGATTAAAAATTTTAGTAAGTATATCAGGTTGCTTTATTTAACTATTATTATCATGTGATTGATGGTAATCATATTCATAGTCATCTGCTTAAGAACTATATGTGTAAATACTTATATCTAAGATTTCCTCTCCTTTATTATTAATTAATTTCTTAGGTCTGTTAGATTGATAGATAAGTGAGAAATTGGATTTGTCAATCAGTTTTTTTGGGAATTACACTATCAGGTTAATGGGTGTATTTAGAGTTTTTAGACTATTAACATTTTTAGATTAATTGTTTTTGAATTGTTTATCTTTATTTTATAGTAGTTTATTAGTCACAGTTAGTTTTGGCTTGTTGATTGAAACCTGATAATTATGAAACTGCACAAGTTAGAATCTTTGATAAAGCTATTATATTTGATAGTTTTCTAAGATCAATATTTTCTTATGGCAGTTTTGTGATTGATGATCAGAAGTTTGACAGATAAACAAGTTTAAGTCTGTCTAGATCAGTTCTTTCTATCAAAGTAGAAAGTTTCACCATTTTTGCAACATCCATTGATTCTTTATCTTTAATATAGCATATTAAAGATTATGATAGTTAATATGTAATTTAAGGATTATCTAAGCGATAGTCTCTACTGCATTACCGATTGAGATCAGGTGATGTCCATTAGTATCTAAAAGTAAGTTGGTAAGTTTAAAAGAAAACTAAAATTTCTTTTTGACGTCTTTATTCATTATGATACAAGGGTAAACTCAAACAAAATCTTTTAGGATGAAGTAGCTATTTAGTTTATTAAGAGTAATCATGTCTGTTTTCTTCTCAAATATAATGATCGCTTATTGCCATAAATTTTTAGTGAATATGATACATTTAGTGATCTTTTTAAAAAAGGAGAATGTAGATCTTAAGTTTGATTCTGTAGTGGAAATCAGGATTTCTATTACTCTGAATAACAATTTGAGAACATATTTTACAGCTGGTTTAGTGATCAGAGGCAAAAATGTATTATTATTTAAATAAGAAATCTTAAGGGTAATTGTGTTATTAACTTTATGAAACTAATTTAAACAATTTTTTTATTAAGATCGTTAAGGTGAGTATGCATTGAAGCATCAAAGATATATAATGTGATGCAAAAATGTCACATACCTTATTTTGTTTTTCTTGATTCATTTTTATTAGTTGGAATAGTTTTGCAGTGCAGTAAGCAAAGTACAGTAAATGAATGCTTCCGTTTTTCGTTTAAGATAAATACTACTTACTTTATTTTTATCATTATCGAGTTTGTTTTCAGTAGCATCAAAAGATTGATTAATATCTAAGAGGACTTTAGGAGATAACGAGGAAGTCTTAGATGCCTTTTTTTTGTTGTTAGATGAAAGAGCAGTTGACTTAATTTTCATATCAGTAGATACTTTTTTTTGAAATATTTTTTAAAGACGAAACTTCAGACGGTTGGGATGGTCTGGGAAACTGTTTTTTAGCTGATCATTATTGTTAGTTATTATTTGGAGAAGAAGAGTAAGTCTTATTAAATTTATTGTTATTATTTTTCTATTTTTTTTTGATCATGTTGAAAATGAGAATCAGCGAAATGAGTTTTTAATAAAATATTTTTTTTTAAAATATTTTATAAACAATTTTATATTTATAATTTAAGAGATAAAGTTTATTATTAAATATTAAATTTTTTAAAAAAAATATTTAAAATAATTAAAAATAGTCTTAATTATTAAATAAAATTGCAGGTAAATTTATTTACTATAATATCATTATTTTTTTTAAAATAATAAATCATTTAATTGAATATTTAAATTATAATTAAAAATATTATAATTTATTACTCATAAATATATTAAATAAATAATAATCTTCAACTTTATTAATTAAGCATAATATATAAATTTAATATATAATAATAAATTTTAAATCATGACAAATATTTACTGCAAGATAAACATCAAGAGAAGCATCACTTTTTTAGATAAAAATTTATTCATTAAAATACTAAATAAGTAAATATATACTACTTGTGTATATTTTTTCTTATGTAACAATTTAGGAGCTACATAAGATGAAACTCCATAAATACCTTGTTCTTTTTTTGAATGATTTATTGGTTAACAAAATTCTAAATCATTAAAACAAAACCATCAAATGGATTTAATATATTGTCAGAATGAATATCTTTATGAACCTTTTCAGCTTTATGAGTCTGTTTAAGATCCATTGAAAGCTCATATAAAACAAACAATTTATCTTTCCAACTTATTTTAGTATTAATCAAACAATTACGGAAATTTCCGTTTCTACAAAAATCTACTGTATCACCATCATATAATTCTGGATCTTGGGTTATTCCAAAACATTGAAAGAATGTATCGAACTTCAATTTGATGAGATTTGATCTATTTAAAATAATAGACTAATAATAATAATCATTTTATAAAACAAAACAAATAAAATTTTTAATTACCTCATTTATAAATTCAATACTTGAATCAGTAGGATTTTCTAAAAATTTTTAATGCAACAGAATAGATCCGAATATCTCAACCATTTCTGCTCTTTAATCCTCCAATTTGCAAATTTTCTACCAAAACCTCTTTTGGCAACAAAATAATATTTTTAAATTTCATAAGGGATCCATTCAATAACTTCGTATAATATACGGCCATGAAGAATTATATAAATTAATTTTTACCTTTAATAATATAGATCTACGCGCTACAAATAACAAGACCGTCATTTATTTGAAATCACTAGATTAATTCAAAAGATCATAGTTAACTTTTGGTGACCTAATGCGTTATAATGTTTACTCCAATTACTTCATTTATTAAATTTAAGAAAACGCAACATTCATTTTAAAAAGATTTTTATGCACAATTGATTTAGGTTACTTTTATTATTTTTATACCAAAATGATCTAATATTTTAAACCCAATATTAATTATTATTATTACTATTACTATTATTATTATTATTATAATTATTCTTAATTCTGTATAAAATATTACAAGTTCATTAAATCTGGCCGCCTTGGAATAATTTGAAACACTTCGTATTCATCAATGTTAAAACTACTAGGATCATTCCTAATAGGATTTTCATAATCTTCTTGCCTACAATGACATTTTGTGTCAATTTTAAAATTACCAGCCAACTTTAAATCATTTCCACCAAAAGAAGGACCATAATTCTTATAATAATTGATTGCCCTGGAAGGATCTTTCACTCTACTAACGACATTGTTCTCTCCCAAAGAAAAAATAAAACTTTCATTAGTATACCCCCAAGAATTTTGAGATAACCAACTAATAGGAGTGAATCCACCGATTAATTCACCAGTATTAGAAATTTTCATAATTGAAACGGTGGCACATTTTGAGTTACATTTTTGGTGAAATTCGATACCAGTAAATCCATCTCGGCTACCTCTATGAAGTAGTTTAAATTCATAAGGATTATTTAAACAGTTTTCTTTTTCTGTTTCACAATCCTTGCCATCGATCCAATTCGCAATTAAAGCGGCGTGTTTTCTTTCAATAATAACTGAATCAATCGTCACCCTTTTTGGTTGAATTAAATTTTCAGAAGGTTGATGTTCCGGAACGAGATGATATTGAAGTATATCCTCATATAATTCTACTGGTATAATTGGTGCAAACGGTTTAATTCTTTTATAAAAATCACCGCTTGAAATGTGAAGGAATCTAATTGAAGGTAAGCACTTTTCAACTTTTTCAGACAATATCTCATAATCTTTGTTTGTCCATTCAGACAAATTTCTTGACAACCCGGTGGAAGTAATCCCCCAGTTGATTAGATAATCCCAAAGAGTTAATTCGTCTATTAATAGGTCATCTCGTTTTAACAATGTTAACAAAGCATTTTCTTCCAATAAACAAAAATCATCTGAACAAAGCACCAACTCGGGATCATTTACTATTATTTCATTACAATATTCCAAAAGTTTATTAAAGGAGTTGTGTACAGTTGCTATTTTATACGTGGTGGCAAAATTACGTTGTATCCATCCAGGTTTATAAAGCAAGAGATAATTTTGCGCATAATCGATTATTTCTTGTAAACATAATTCGTCAGCCGCGATCATTACCTCTAAAATGGTTGAAGTATTCATGTTAAGGTCTTCATCCAATATTATCGTCCCCGTATAGATATATTTAAGTATCACTTCAAACACCTTTGGACTAATGTTTGGTTTATTAAAGGTAATATAATTATTTTCGAATTTAGCCCATTCCGATGATAATGCTACCCTAAAATATGGTGAGCGTACCCGAAGTATTATAGAATGTACTTTAAATTGTTTGATATTTGGTTGCTCTCCAACGTTAATGATCATGTTGTAATCTTCGTTATCTGAAAGTAATATTGATAAATCTTTTGAAAGATTTGGTAAAAAATCTGTACACATTATGAATGGAGGTGGTGTCGTTGAAGGTGTTTGTGGTGGTGTCGAGTATTTTGATGAGCCCGAATCGGATCTAGAAAGTGAAGTAGAAGACATTTCTCTCTTTTTTTTTTTTTTTACGTCGCTTTTATGTATTTATTTTTTTAAAAAACGGAAATTTTTGCTTAAACCCAGTAAGAATTAAATTCTATAATATGAGGAAAAAAAAAATTTGACGTCAAAATTATAATTTTTGTTATTTTTATCACGAGGAAATAGTTGTTTTGTTTTTACGAAAGAAAGAAAAATTTTTTATTTTATTTTTATTTTTATTTTTTTTATTTTTTTTTGAAGGAGGCGGATATTTATTTTATTTATATATTTAGAAAACTAATCTAAATTAAATAGATATTTTAAGTAAATGATTACAAGTTACATGCATAATGAAGTCAAATAAGGAATATTGAGTAAAGTTTCATTTATGCAAATTGCTCACTTTATATTGATCAAATTGTATTGACCAATTCTGTAAATTTGCGAGAGTTAGGAAAGATGACGATTTTCACAAACTATAAATGTGGCTACACTATATATAATATATTCATTCGTGGCGCGTTTTTTGAGTTCCTGAGAAAAAGTTTATGACGATTTAATTTAAGAACAATGTTAATTTGTTTATAAAGAATGAATGTAATACGTATTTCTTTCTAATACCAAAATTTTTGGTACTTTAAAAAGTTAAGTTCGGTGTAGGAGATAAGGTCACTCTTATCATTTTACTAAATTTGAATTTAGTAATTCGGAGATTGTTGTTATACAAAAATAATGGTCATTTGACTAATTATTTATAACACAACGTCATAATTGAACAATTTTCATTTTCCAATAGACAACAGATCTAACCAAATTTGAAATTTTTAATTTTTACAAATGAAAAAATCCCATATGAAATTTCAGTTTTTTTTATTTTTTATAGTTCATTAATTTATGTTGTGTATTGTGTAGCATGTTTCAAAAAAAATTTTAACACGTTATTGGTAAATTATCGTGGGGAAGGATCTGCATTGTTGAACTAACTTGGATTAGAAAAAGAGAATTCGATTGTAAAAATCACAAATCACTTTTCTGTGGATTCTTGTGATGAAGTTTATTGATATTTTGTTCCTAATGAATTCCTTATCCTTTTTAATGTGACTTTGTTTGTTTCACCTTTCTGGTGTTTTAAATGTGACCCATTTTAAATAAGAACGATTCCTTACAAATTAATTATATTTTTAACGCGTCAATACCTTGATTCCAATACACATTCACATGAAATCGTTGCCGGACTCTATCATCGGATCTATTCGGATTGCAACTACCTTCCTTCTCGAAATGACTCGGAATCCTAAAGTGATTCCAACCCTAATAAGATAACCCTAACCCTTACCCCTGGAAAGATAAAGGTTATCATGAGATCTTACACAGAAGATTCAGAATGATAACGTAAAAGTTTTCCTATCATAGTTTGTCCTACCAAGATAAGCAGGTTATAAGGTCTACTTGAATTTAATTTTCAGGCAGGTTTTTTGGATAAATTTTTAAGGATTCACGGATTTTGGAGCATGACGAAAAGGATGATTTGATAAATCCTTAATTATAATAATAACAACCCTAATAAATATTTCCTTTTTCATTTCACTTGACCAAAGACTTTTAAGAATGATACATAAAAAGTTTTATTTATCATTTTCTCTTTTTTAATATCATTCTCGTTCATCCATGGACCTACCCTGGTATGCCCGTTCGTTCATATTATGGACGGGCATACGTTGGCAAATGACCTTGAAATGGCCTAAAATGACATCATCGTTTTTATTAGAAATAGCAAGTTCAAATGACCAAGGTCATATGAAAAAAATACTTATAATTTGCCATCACTGGTCCATATATATTATATAACTGGTTACATTAATTCTTTAATAATGAAATTTTAAAAATTTACATGTGCTTTCTAAACTTTTCGATTCCACATTTTTTTTATTCTTTTCATATCATAACCTATGAAGGTTTCAATTTTTTAAACATTTAGTTTCACTTGGATTAGGGATCATAATATGGATCAATAAAATACGGGATTTATTTTAACTAATTCAATTTGGAGAAATGTTTTATTATTTAATATTAATTTCCCTTGCCAACTATACCTTAGTAATAATGTCATAAACTAAACCAATCCCTGATATTATTACAATACAAGCTTAAATGGTAAGTTACATTTGAAACAGCTGAAAGTTTAATTCATTTTGGTTTGATAGATGCAAAAGTACTGTGCATTTAGTAGCATCAATTATTGATTGAATTTGGCTTTTTGGCTTTTTTTGTACCACGATGATGAGTACGATTCTCATTGGACTTGAACAATTTATTATATACCAGTAAATTACATTACGGATCATATGATTTACTGTATCCCATGACTATGCTATAGAATTATCTTTTCTAAATGGAGTTTCAAACTATTTTGGTAAAAAAAATAATTTCACAAAATCATGCAGGAATAATCTTTAAAGAACCGATTTTTAACCGAAATCAAAAAATTTAATATATCAAATTTTTTTAGTTTTTAAGGTTAATTTTAACATTAATTTAAATAATTAAACCTGAAACTATCAGATGTAAAAATAAATTTTAAATAAAATCAATAATATTGATGAAAATAAATTACCAAGTACATTATTTATTATCAAACATTTTATCATTAAATATATAGAGTTTCAATATATATTCATATCTAAAATTAGTTGATTTCTGATAAATTTTTATTTAATAATTAATAATAAAGCTTTTGCTTTACTTTTTAATATCAGAAATTAAAAAGTATAATATTATTAATATTATGCAAATTTATAATATCAATTTATAATTTCCTATTAAATTAAAATTTTTATTCATTTATACTTACTAAAACAAATTTATATAATTTTAATATTTAATATTTAATAATATTCTAATAAAATTAATAAATTAGTAATATATTAGTAATAACTAAATATTTTAAAATATATTATTAAAAAATTAATACTTTTATAATAAATTTTATGATGTTTTATAAGTAAAATATTAAAAAAAAAATGTAATTAACTAGTGATTTTTTAAAGATAAATAAATAATAAATTATTATAAAAAAAATTAAAAACAGACTGTTTCATCTGGGCATTGCATCATTAGTATCCCTAATGCTCTGGCCTACTTAGTTCAGACCATTCCTAAGCAATTACATACAGTCAAGAATCAACCCAAACAATCATTTAAGGAAATCTCTCGTATCACCAATACGATCTTTCACAAATCATACAATGACCCTTTTCCAACAATTTCGCTCACTGATAACATCATCGATCTTCTTATTCAACCATCAATGCACTCATATAAGCTTAAACATTTGCAATCCACCTTCATCAGTGTAACAGTCTTAACATTTTACACAGATGGCTCCTTAATAGGATCTCTGACAGACAACTGTAAAATGGGATTCAGTTGGATTTGCTTACACCCTGACAACGGTCTATTTACCTTCAAAGCCTCACTCACAAATTAGCCCTCTTCCACATGAGCTAAAATGTATGCTCTTCTCACTACCCTTATAGTATCCCCAAATAACGCAGTGGTAGACGTCTACCTAGATAGCTAGACAACAATTCATGGTTTTAACAAATATGTACTCTTTAACCATCTTTCTTTAAGAAAGCTTGAAAAAGTTCCCAATTATACGATCTGGATTATTATCCGATATATCACTGATCACCTCAACCTCTATGTTTCACTTCATAAAATTAAAGCACATGCTGAAAATTATTATAATGAAATAGCAGATAGATTAGCTAAAGATGAATGCAATACACCTACTCTATCCTTGCTACTTAATAATGTTCTCTCATCAGATCTCTCATTTTGCTTTAATAATATTCCTATTGAGGTCTCTATTAGAGGTTTTCTCAAGCAACTCTTTGCCGCACAAGCTTTTGGCAACTTTCTGGATTTGAACAGGAATGATAAACTCAGAGTACTCACAGTCAATAAATCTATCAATTGGTTCACTATCTGGAAACTTTTTTCGATGAACACCTCTTCTCTCTTCACATCCTTTGCTTCATATAAGCTCAAATCACTCATAATTAAAAACTTCATCGATGAACTTCTTTCACTGTCACACCTCACATTATTATGACCTGATTTATATGAGCACTAGCCTTGTGTGGGTTGCAACGTTGCTACTGAAACCACTTTCCATATTTGAACATATCCATTGTACTCCCTGAAAATTATGGACACAATATTGGCTACCAAAAATGATCTTATTGACCAGCTAGGCTCTTCATACAGAGCCAGATACACAGCGCACCAAACTAAACTAGAGGATGTACTCAACAACACCTTCACATCACCTTCAAATGCCTCTAATGGCTACACAGACATCATTTAATCCAGAATTTCGTCTTCCCTAATAGATATTGTTCACAAAATAGCTGGCAATAAAGAGCGATGCTTCTCCATCATTTTACGCTCGCTGCTTCTTTTTTATCAAAAGCTATATGATGATGTCTGAAAATACCATTACAACTTATTAATCGCCAAAGAGCATTCAATAGGCATTACTAAATAAGACAAGCGTAAATGAAGTGCCAGTTCACCCTTGCCTCAATCAAGCTCTCTTTTAACTGGGAGACTTGGATACACCTTGTAAACAAATTTGGCTACGCTTTCTCAGATTTTTAGATAGGCACTGACGTCTTCTTTATCTTTCCTTGCTGATGTTAATTTTCATTAAGTATGCACTT